CCCCCCCCCCCCCCCCGGCCCCAATAGAACCCTGTACCATTTTCTGACCATCTATAAAAAACTGTACCTCCATCCATCTCGCCCACGTTAGTGGTTCCCAGTACTAGTACAGAGGATTTGAATTTGTTTATTTTCATTGTTTAATTGAATAAAAATTTAAAAACAGATCAATACTAACGCCATGATTAGGATCTCCAACGTTCATCAAATAATCTCTATTTTAGAGACGCGTCCACAAAGCGATCGTATAAATCTGGGTGTCCGATAAGGACAGTGAAAAACCATTTGAAATGATTCAAGGCCCGTGCTTGTCTCGCAAACATCTGGTCTGATGATTTTATCGGGATCCTTTGTAAGAACCCTTAATAAACGTAAAGAAGAATTTATAAAGAGAAAAATAGCTCGTGAAAATTTTTAAGAGTTGGATGTCTTTCACGAGTCTTTACGAATCATTTCTTCTTTGTGTTATTCCTTTTCTACGGATCTTAGAACTACGTAAATACATGGCTTTCGTAATTATTTAAAATTACCTCCTCACCGATGTTGATGAACTTGAAATATGTTACCAGGCTCATCGTCTCGAGTAATTGCGTCATATATATTATCAGGTGAATTTTAGAATCCACGCCACAAATGACCCGTTTTATAAGGATAAGGATCGTAGGAAGTATACTTTAATATGCTCCAAACGTCAGTCCTAGGTTGGCACATAGATTCCTTAGTTTTAAGAGATACAGTCTATCGTCCGTCTTGGCGTTAACATCGCTTTGCTTTGCCTATATTACTTGCTGTTTTTGTTGTTACTTCGGTGCTGCCGCTTGGTGTAAGACCGTCTGGAAACGGAAGGAGCAATGAGGGAAGTCAGGAAACAGAAGAATTTTTGTCTAACTGGGAGACCGATTGCCGCCGAGGCACAAAGGGAGGATGTTGCAGTCCGAGGACCACGAGAATCCAAGAGTACTTGAAACGGGATTCTGTCATTCGTCTACCGCCTACCTCGTTATTATTGAAATTAATATTCGTAAATTATTGACAAATTTTTTTTACTTAATTTTACACAATTGTATAATTGCTTAAAATTCGCACTAATACTGTGCGAAAAGGACGCAATGAGCGACGCTTTGGCGTTTTGCTCGCGCCATC